CACGCCACCATTACTAGGAAATTTGTACAAGACAGCATAACAACCTTGAATAACAATCATGAAAGTGAGTGGAATGGAGGGCTGAGGAACTCGCCCTGTCTCTGATAAAAAACCGAACATCAAGGTGAGGATAGTGCTGAGTACCGCGGGCGGTATGTTGAGCAGCTGAGCTCGAGCAATAGAACTGATCCTTAGTACTAATATCGAACACGATGATCAAGGGTAGGTACACTTACGTGAACCCTAGATTCGCTATGACAGTGGGCTGATAGAACGTAAGGCCAGTCGTGCCAACAGTGTAGAAAGCCCAACATAAAAGGAACAGCCAGAGTCTGATGTCCTTAAGCGTTGTAATGAATTCTCGAAGATCGAAATCTTTTTCTGCTGAACGGGGTGAGTTGGGCGGTAGCCTGATCTGGACGAATTCTTTCTCTTCCTCTGTCATCCAGGAGACAGTTGAGGGGACTACCATATATTCGTTAGAGCAACAGGAGGATTGACGTAAGTTTACCAATTCATACAGTTGGGTAAGAGCAGATAGACTGCTATTCCTAGAAGTATCGTGAATACGCCCTCAGTTATAACGAGCCTTCAAGTACAAGATCAGAGAGATGTACAGTGACTCGAGGGGTAGGCGTACCATTTCCAACCAGACAAGCCTCTTGCGTCTACGCCGTTGAAAGCAAAGGCAAGCACGCCACTCAACACGACACTAAAGTTGCCTAACATGGTGACAAGAACAACACGCATTGCTATCTCATCCGGACGATACCAATAACAAAGGTGAACTAGTATTCCAGGCCAAAGACCTGCTTCAAAAAGACCCAGCAGGGAGCGTACGGTATAAAGTCCTCCGGAGTTCGTAACAGCTGCATGACAGCAAAGGACTAGTCCCCAGGAAATCTATCATTTCATCAACACTGGACACCCTTGCAGTACTTGGAAATCTTACCGTAATTCTAGATTGCCATACCGACGGCTTGAAGTATTTGATCATGAGATTCGACGGTGTTTCAGCGATTATGTAGGGTATATAGTACGCAAGAGTCACAAAATTGTACTGATCAGAAGTCATGTGAAGCTCAACCATGATATTTCTAGATGTCCCTTGATCCATGATACGCGCGTTGGAGATCTAGACAAATTGTGAGCATAATGTTTGAGCTTGTGGAGGTAATAATTCCACACACGTTGATAAAATCAAGGGTTTTGATCATGTATAAGATGGCGAGCAAAGGAAGCAGGTGCCAGTCTATACGACGCAGTAATCTCTTCTCTTGCTTCCTATCGATAAAACCTCTGATTTGAGGCTCGATGTCTACGGTCGGATCCGAACAATCGCCTAGTTCAATGGTTGATCTTCTAACTTCATCTTTCGGAACATCGTGCAGAGGATATCTCTTGTGGAGGGGACTGTCATGGTCAATCGTTTGCAGATTATTGTCATCAGACGTCTTCATATTGATTAATAATTATAAAGGTCCTTTGCCCGAAGGCTTAATTGTGGAGCTGGTTTTTTTCTTTCTGGAGCTAGGACCCTCTACTCATTTTATATTCGTTCCCGAGGCCCCGAATGGCGTGCTGGTAAATCTGATAAACATCCAACGGTGGGGTAACACTACATGCGATGTCGGTACTCGTGCATATCTCATGTCTTATCTCTATGCTATCATTGCCCGACTAGGAACGTTGATGTGATAGGCAGTTCAGGCCCGGTTTCCAGTATGATGATAGGTCGCCAAGTTCCGATCATAGTACTGTTCAAAGGAGTACATCGACGGTTTACTCATGTCAAGATGCCATATCTAAAGAAGCAGTCCTCTATGAGCTTGCCAAATAGTACGAAAAGCACCTTGGTGCTCGCCGCCAAACTTACTAGCACGGTATCGCAATGGCCCTTTTCAGGTTCCTCATCAGCGATGTGTCATGTCATGAGATTCAATGGATGAAGAACATACTACTACTTAGATCAAGCTACGCTTCTACGTTTTAAAGGGCCAGCGCTCCCAGCATGCTGATGCACATGCTTCCTCTGCTTCCTCTGTTCATCTTAATAGTCCTCATCTTTATAAATTGTTTTTGTGATCCTCGGAGTTGATTTCGTGCGATTTATTGGCTTTTAAGAGGATACTATTGATTATGCATCTACACATAGACCATAGATCTTGACACTGCGGCATGGATGACGATGTGACTGACATTATCTGATAAGGAAACAAGAATGCCAAACAAGGTTCGTCGCCGTGATAAGTGATAAGTCCAAACTATGCATGTATTTGATCAGCAATGATCTGCGTGGGGTGCTATCAGTGCTGCAAGAGTCTTGAGTTTTCGGTATTTAGGTTATCGCGCGATTTTTGATTGAATGTAGATGTATCACAGGGGGCAGGCAGGTGTTGTTGCTGTCCAATCTGGAGACCCAGTCGCTGGACCTGCCCCGTCGCGGTTCTGGTAGGGAATTCACTGGTGCTCATCCCCACCAAAATCTCAAGTTCATGGGAAGGATCCCTGGGCTTCCCCCTAGAGCAACTCAGCGACCTTCGCATTAGCCCATCACACAATTACAACCTAGGTGGGTGTAACCAAGAAGCTCACAGCCGCTACGATACTCTTATACTCCTTGTTGCCGAATACCTCTCAAACCAATTTAAATGTGTGGATATATCACCTGTTGCGTTTATCCCAGGTTTCTAAGGAGCCGTACAGTGACTGTACGCATATGCTATTTGAGGATGAGGTGGTTCAGAGAGATTCCACCTACGTTGAACACATTTGCTTCATGACATTACCAGGTACATGACTTGGAAGCAGATCGCCAATTTCCAGGTGACAGCCTGATCTCTATCTTTTCAGTGCAGCATTCTCGCCTCTTGTGGTTAAGGTTATGTCTGCCCGTTTTATCCTTCCTTTGGCAAGGCCCTCTGTTGGATCCTGTCTCGTCCTCACTTCCGGATGTTTATAGGTGCGATAATGCCACATAACCGATGAATCTAGAATAATGGTGGCTGAATGGGTTGTACCTTTCTCGAGCAATGCCATGTATGTGCGAGGGTGAAAGGTCGTGGAAGTTTCCTGGCGAGACTACTTGATTATGTAGCGGTTGCCTAGAGCCATGATGAATACGAAATGAAACCCCGCATTTATAGAGAATACACCTCGAGCAAATATCACCTTACAGAGCTTACTCGCCGAGAGGCAGGCATCCTAGAATTGCGAGTAATGCATACCAAACAAGCCCTTATAGAGGGAATTCATCCGGCGCTTACAACCTACTTGACGTCCCTCTGAACATTGAATGCCCAATAAAGTGATTCAATGGCCTTTTTGTGCACCGACGGTTTTCCGGAGATGGCCCGATTCTTAGGTCTTGGGCATGGAGAGATAAGAATGTGCAGGACCCGCTGTTATTAGTGAACGGAAAATACAAGAAACTATACGACACTACGGCTGATATCGGCGGTGCAGTCAACGAATACTGATACAAACAGTAAACCGTTCACCAATTGTTTCTGCGAGCAGTCACCGGAAAGCAGCTAGGCAGGGGCAGTCGACTTGAGCGAGCCCAATCTTGGTTACCGTACTCTGCTTCATTAGCACTACTCCATATTTTTTGAACGGACCATCCCGAGACGCTTATCTTCTACGACCAGTGTAATTTCGATTTATAACGTCGTTATGGCTCGTCTTTTTTCGTCCGATCAGCCTTTTGACAAAGGTCGTGAAAATTGCTTCCAGTACAACGAGCTCCTCTAGATCATCATAGTGAAGATAAACACTGCCCATAATGGTACTAACTAAAGCATTTATTGCAATGAGCATTATTGCATCATCCGCCGCCCATTTTACCATTCCAAATGATGACCAGAATATGTTTGGGCTGGTGGTGAATGCTATACCCTCCTCCAAGCGCATTGAGTATATGCGAAAGGTAACTCCCCATGACATATCAATACTATGAATGCTCACAATGCTCCAGACAAACCAGGCTTTGTATCGACAAAGCGGACCGTAAATGCACGCCTAAAAGAGACTGTAGGTGTCAACGCTGAAAAGATCAGGTGCCCATTCGCTGCTTTCGGTGCCATTATCGTGAATCACACAGCCGACGAAGTAGTCTGCGAAGGCGCCAACTTCCGTACAGGCGATCCAACTAGTATGTCGACGATCTGTAACCGAGGATTGCACTAACGAGGCAACCAAGTCCATGGGGAAATTTCCGCGATCAATGCGTGCACAGCAAAATTCACAGCCATGGGAATGACGCCCACGTGAGTTTTTTCCACCATAACAATCCTTAGTCGCTGACTCGCCGGAACAGAGAAATCTATGCCGCTTGGGGAGAATTGTCTCTATACACTAATGCAGAATCATGCCCGATGGTATTTTAAATGCATGAAAGTGTTGAGTCCTGAGTGCTAATTAGCAGTAGTGTGCGAGTGCTATTCGATGGGCTGGATTCAAAGGTAATCTATGAATCCAGAATGCTACCTGATTCGCCTAACGTATTGAACAGAGTACATATATGGGACGACAATTCAACACAACTACAACGTTGGTTGGGGCGTCATGACTCTCAGCAGCGTGAGTCTCTTCCCCTTGCAACCCCTGTTGGAATACTTACAATGATAGTACGATGTATTCCAACAATCTCGTCAACTACCAGGATATCAGACTGTCATGGTTGGACAGGTACTAGTCAACGAGACGGACCCCTTATTCTCATGGCAGTATAACAGCTCAGCGCCATGTCCAAATGGTTGCTTCCGAGTGTCTAGCGAAAGCCGAGGTGGGAGCACCTGCTCTAACACCACATTGAGTTAATCGGACCAGGCATCACGCAGAAACGATCCTGAGAAGCTGCATTTATCCATTTGAAAGCTAAAAATCACAATATCAAATTCAATCTATAAAGTACCGTGATCTTATAAATTTGCTCTCTCCACGATGTGTTCCGCCCACGATCCACCATTCGTCTATTCCTATTGGGTTCTAAAAATTCCTCAGAGATGGAAACGTCGTGTCTCTTCCTGGTTCTCTCCACGCTCATCAGCCTGCTTTCGAACCTTCTCAGTATCTTGCCAGTAGGTGAACATGAGTACCAAAGTGATCAAGATGCTTCCTCCGTAAAGACCAATAATAGCTGCGAAACCCTTTCGGTATGCGGGTGCATCCGAGTCTTTGAACAAACTGGGACCTATGACTCCACCGAGGTTGCTCCCGATAACGGCCAAGGCAAGGCCCATACTTCGCTTGTGGGGTGAGGTAGAGTTCACACTAAGCCATGCGTCGTTCAATGCCACGCCGAGGGAGTTGCCAGTACTTACGAGAGTGAATATCGCATAAAGAAGCCATTTATCTCGATTGACACCTAGCCCGACGAGAGCGGCAGCAAAAGTGATGGACCATAGGTACGAGAAAATGCAGAATATGCCACGCTGTCCTGTCTTGTCTGACGCAAATGAGAGAATGAAAGAAAGAACGATGAGGCAATAGCTGTGAACCGAGTTGAGCAGATTAGCTTTGGTCTTGCTAAAACCAAGCCTCTTGATGATGCTCGGTCCATAAAGACCCAGAGCAGTTTTTGGCGATGCAGCTAGCATGTTCACAATAGCATGTAGCCAGAGACGAAAATCGGTGAGAGCCTCGAAGAGGTTTGCCTTGCTAATGTGAGCCCTGGCGTGGGCCTTGGAGGCGTCTTCCGATACCACACGATGGTACATGATATCCCTTTCACTCTGAGTAAAGATATCGAAAAGGCCGTGAATAGGCCGAGTTCGCTGGGGCGAGAATGGGAGGAAGAGGAGGAGGAGAAAGAATGCCGAGAGTGTGATGGCTCCCTCGACTAGTGATCGAGTGTTTATATTAGTAAAGATCATGCTTGTATTGACAAGTTTGACGTAAACAAATATATTGACATACTGATGAATAGCCACTGCCATCCAGAAAGCCCATTCCTACCAGCTAGCTGCAACAGCCCTGCTGCAATCAGAGAGCCTGTCGCAGCAGAGAAGAAGTTGCCAAAGTAAAAGATAGCAGTTCGTAAGGCTAACTCGTCGGACTTGTAGAAGAGAGCCAGCGTATATTGTGCGCCTGGTATATATCCACCTTCAAATACACCGAGGAGAAAGCGGGTCGCATAAAATGACGAGAGATTCGTGACATAAGCCTGAGCTAGCGAAATCGTCCCCCAGACTGCAATAATAAAGGTGAGCCAGACAGGTGCGCCTAGACGTTGGAGGATCAGATTAGATGGAATCTCAGCTATCACGATTCCAGCAGACATAAGCTGACTACCAGTACCGACCTGATCCTTCGTGATGTTCAGATCCTCAGTAATGGTATCAGTCATAGCGTTGCTAATGTTACTACGATCAAGCTGCAAAACGAAGAATCCAAAGACCAAGAGTGGCATCAAGAATAGGTCAAGCCTATAGAAATTTTGATTGTTAGCACCGTATCAAGGTCAGTTTGCACTAGATCCGAGGGAATGCGCTGAGCTGCAATAACAGCGTGGTTTCTCCTAGAAAGGGGAATCATACTTCAGTCTGACTAACCGTTCCTCTTTTGTTGACCATACTGGAGGCGGTGCATCGTTTCCGGCTGGCAGTATGGAACCTTCCTTGGTGTCATCCCCAGCTGGGATAACCTCTTCATTGCTGTGTAGTCCCTTCTCCATTGTTTAATATCTTTAACAGATTCTAACGATGCGTGAATACGAGTAGAAGAGTGCTAAACGAAACGTGAGAGCTGACAATCTCGTTTCCGAGTTAATTGATGTGTTGCAAACCCAGAATCTTTTATACATCTACATGGGTAAATGCTCCGGAGTTGACGCTCGCCTACAGTAAAACCGTAAACTTCCATGCCTCCCATAACACGCACCTTATCTGTTTACCCCACATATTGAGGACTATACGGCTTGGCTATGGTCGAGAAAGGCTAGCGCCTAGCACGCGACTCTTTGAGGAGGCAGTAATTCTTGTCATTTTGGTCGCGGGGCCATCGCTGGTAAATGACTGCCAAGATCTCCGCCAAGATTCCACCGCAATGAAAATGACTTCTGTTTGGCTGTCTAGTCGGAGTTCGTGTCCGTAGCTGTACAACGGACATGGAATCCGACGGATTGAGACACCGGTTGTCTTCTCTGGATTGATTTAGTCTGTCGTTTCGTGCGCATGACATTTGTTGAAGCGAGGAAACATTGCCATTGGAATTACTTCAAACGACGGATCATTCACGCACAGAGCAGCGCTAAGATCCAAGTCTATTGAGGCTTCGTGCTGCGTTATGAACATAGTGCATGTGAGAATATCTGTTGTGAACAAATTTCCTTCACCACTATTCCACAAATTAGTATCATTTATTGATTCTAACGCAGTAGGGAGAACGAGTCAATCCTGAAGCGATCGCTACACGGAAGAGGATATCATCAGAACCATGAAGGAAAAGTTATGATGTCCTGTTAGATGGTGCATAGAAAGAGCAATCAATATACTGAATCGCCGAGGGTGGTTTCGGAGCTGCTAGTCAATTATGTATGGCTTCACGCGTTGTCATGTTTGCGGGATCGACTTCTAGTTGGCTACCTAAACTTAGCCGCATTGCGCCGAATTTGAAGGTGAACTATGCAATTAGTATCAAAAGGAGCCTAGGACTAGTGTTTTCAACATCGACTTTGCTAAAGCACATGGGGTGATGGTGAGAGTGAAAAGAGGAAGGGTCGTAATATATGCTGCGTGTCCTTCCCCCGACTTCCCCCTAGAGGTGAAAAAAAGATAAGAAGCAACGGCTAGTCCACACAAGCTTACGGTGGCGCTCAAGTTCCTACTCCCTACTCCTCAAGCAAATCTAGACAAGTATTTTCATAGAGTGTTGAATAGAAGCCATTGTCATTGAATGGGGTTCGTCTATATGCCTGAATTACTTGCTCTTACACGGTTTTTGTCGAGATGGATGCAAAGCTGACTACCATCATTCTATACCATAGGAACTAGTTGATAGATAAATCCTTATCGCAGAGACCCTCCCAGCCAACTTCAAAAGAAGATGAGTCGCAACTAATGTCTGCATTTATACGTTTCCTGGCCATGCCTGATGGTATTGAACTGCCCATATTAAAAGTCTTGACAATGTCAACTTATTTATCAAGAAGCTCAGACCCAACAAAAGCTGAGAAGATGTATTAGTCTAGTTCAAGGTACAGCCCGATTCCATGACCTCATTTACGCCGGGCCAACTTTTTAGGCAGGATCGCTCATGGCATTGACGACATTCTAATTTGAATCAGAGAATTTCTGGCGTAGATTCATGGCAAATTGAGCATGATCCAGTCGAGATAAATGACAAAGAGACCATTGCAAGCGATTAACTTTCAGCTGCGTTCTGGCTAGACAGCTACTTTGTGACCAACGCCTTAGGGACGACCCAATCGACGCAATACGGAAGCAAATCGCGTATCGGAACGATCTTAAGCGCACCCTTATCACCTACAATTACCTGGATGCCGCTGTGATAGTCCAATAGAATCTACCTACACTTACCACGTGGATTCGCCACACCCCTTCCTTTGTCGAAGACCGCAACAATATGGGTCAACACGTCGCCATCGATAGCTTTATTACGTATGCCCGCTGCATTTGCATTATACAGAGCTACATGTTCTGCACATGGCCCACCGGTGAAGTGCGTGAGATTAACACCTATGAAAATACGACCTGTCGATGAGAGTGCTGCGCACGAGACAGTGGATACGTGCGTTTCAAACGGAATTGGTTCACTGATGGCATCAATAATGGCTGTGGCGGTGTCGACAAGTGCAGTCTCTGTCGGCGTCAATTGGTTCATGTTGAGTCTAGGGTGGGTTGTGTGTTATTGAGCTGGTGTTTTTTTTAGCAGGAGCCTGGAGGCGCTTGTGTGAGTTGAGTCTTTTACGAAAATAGAATGATTCTCAATAGGACTGCTTCTGCGTATTGTTTAAAAGCCACGAAGAGACGAAATTGCCCATAAAATCAGGCTATGCTTGATGGCAGTAGAGCCTATCATTGTGAATGCAAATAAGATAGCCTGAAATTTCATTTGTTGACAATTCAATTGCCAACCTGAAACATGCTTGAAACATCTGATACCCGGCACTTTGAGGCCTATGAGTCAGCAAGCTGGCCGCAACAGTTTAACTTCAACTCCCTTAAGAAACGGCGGCTACACTGAGCCGTGTTGATGCAAAGCATTGTGAAATGAAAGAGTTCTTCACAACCCTTCGCGGAGAAGCGAGCTCTCGTGTCTTGTGAGAGATTTTGGAAATAAAGTGGCTGTTTAAAGCCTTCCTCCACCTGCTTTACATTTCTCAACATAAGACTAAGTCTCCGCAGATTTTACAATAGATTGATTAGTCATCTCCGGCATATTAAATAGGCATTCGCGTTAAAATGTGATTCAGGTCTACATATATAAGAGTCATCATTTGGACTTACACATATTCTACGAGGCTTTGTGAGACGTTGGCCTGGTATTGAGACTGGAAATTGGACAGTTATTTGACTTTGCGGGTAGCATTACATGCATATACGACCTACTTTGTAGAGGGCTAGCGCTGAAACCCAGAAGGAGTCTTACTATGCTTCCTTCTCATTTTACATAAGTCTAGACATAACCTTACATCTTACTATCCTACCAATCAAAAGGGTCGAGAAGAGCTCTAATCAAGCCTTGTTTGGCGCCATGGATCACAGCTTCAGCCAATCATAACAACACCAAACAGGCTCCAACAACAGTTAACAATAGCTTTACATCCTTATAACTTTCTAATCTCCTTTAAATTGAAATTCTTGACTGATCCAGGTTTGAATACTAATCTACTGTTTGAGTATCTAAAAGTGACACATCAACATTAGCACTGGTTTTTGTATCTTTGTACATCTTGTCGTCTGCAATATGGACTCCAACATCATAGTTATACTGTTATCTCTTCTTTTCGCTGTTTTCGTGTTTTTAATCCTAAACCTATCGAGAAATTACACGGTAGCAAAGTCTTCTGGATTTAAATGTGTCATTCTGCCAACGCACATGACGAGCATTCCGTGGCTCATCTCTGGTGTGATCTTTCGCCCTCTCCTGGACCTACTACCCGAAGAGCTTAGGGATCAATGGGTGCCGTATGGAAATACCCACCCAGATTGAGGAGTTCAACTTTAACATCAATAGTCTTCTACTTCTAGATCGCATATGGCATTCAGGGCACAGACCTTTCGCTATTACCAAAGCGGATACGCTTATAGCTGTCTCACCAGGCCGAAATATTTTATTCACCTGCGATCCGAAACTCATTACGCAATTACTACGCGACCCAGCATTCGGAAAGCCAACTGCCTTACTGGGGCTACTGAACTTGTTCGGGCCAACGATGACGGGCACTGACGGTGCTGAAACTAAATTGTACCGAAAGGTTGTTGCACCTTACTTTGGAAATGAAACCATGGGCAAGGTCTTCCGAGAATCGGTAGAGGCAACGGAAATTTTCATGCAGATAGTCACTCGCCAATCCAAACCGCTCGACACGCAGCTACGGCCAATGCTTTCAAAGATGGCGCTTCATGTTCTTGGCAAATGTGGTTTTGATAAAGAGGGCTCATGTGTTGAAGAACTCCAGTTCTCGGAGAAGCCTGCCGGTGGCCATAGTCTTAGCTTTGCCGATACATTCCTGGGCATTGACCAAGATCTACCTCTAATTGCACTCACCCCGCCCTTTCTTCTAAACCACTCCCCATTCAAGCTTCATAAACGCGGTCAAGTGCTGCGAGATGAGATGCAACGATATCTCGAAGAAGCATTCGAGCAAAAGTCACTCTCTACAGACCTAGATGATGACAAGAGCAAATCATTGTTGGATATCTTAGTCGAGTCAAATGTGAAAGATGGTCTTCTTTCCAAGGAGCAAGTCATGGGCAACATTTTCATCTTGAATTTTGCTGGCCACGAGTCTAATGCTCACGCTCTTCAATTTGCGCTCCTTAATCTTTGTTTTCGGCCTGAAATGCAAAATAAGGTACAGTATGATATCGACCGCATTCTCGGAAATTTGCCTCGCGAAGAATGGAACTATGCCGATCATTACACTGCCCTTGCGCAGAGCATGGTGGGCGCCGTCATCAATGAGTCATTGCGTGTATATACTGTCTTGCCTATTTTCATGAAGGAGACTACCACGGACTCGGTCCGTGTTCACGTCGATGGGCAACAACACGTCATTCCACCTAATACATTGATCGCTGTCAATACAAGCGCAACGCATCGAAACCCGTCATACTGGGCTACGCCTGCAGGTACAGCAAATGAAGGGGCACCCTATGCCGTTTCATCCTTTGCTCCGGATCAGTGGTTTGATCAGGATGGAAAATTTAAAGTTCCAGAGCCAGGATCATATATACCATTTTCTGATGGGCCTCGTGGGTGTATAGGTCAACGATTTGCTATGGTTGAACTTTGTACTTCGCTTGCTACGATATTGAGAGGTCATAGTATTGAGCTCGCAGATGGGGTCGATATAGGAGAGACGGGGACAGACAAGATTGTCCATCAACTATCCGGAGGCATTGTTTTCAATATGACGTTACGGCTTGGAGACAAGATTGCGGTGCGATTTACCAAACGGAGACACTAAAATATTTTATTATTGTGACAAAAGAGAGCCCC